TCGTGTCTCGAGCCCCATCCCCCACCTCCTATTCATTGCGCTGCACGACGGGGGTCCACCAGCCAGGAGAACGGCTAGGCATCCCCGATCAGTGCGCGAGTCAAAGTCCGCCTCAATCGTTAGACCGAGCCGGGTGGAGATCAATCTAATGTAAACATCTTCCCCAAGAACGTCCGCGACAGGGACTCTTTCCTTGAGTTCCATACGCTCTCCCCGGACGGTGAGGAGAAGCCGCCGTCCCGCGTGGTCTGCGTCCACCGGGAACGTGCCTGGGCGTGGGCCCGCGTGGCCGTCTTCTCGTCGGACACCATGGAGTGGCAGGTCGTCTTACCGGACATGGACTGGCAGGTCGTCTTACCATGGAGCGACAGATACGCCACTGGCACGGTTGTCAATGGCTTCGTCTGCTGGGTACACCATGGGGAGGGATGCATCCTCTCGCTCAACACTGCGACATTTCAATTCTCTCGGATGTATCTGCTGCCGCTCTGAAAAGTGCCGTCCTCAATATATCAACTTGGTCACACCAAGGATGGGAAGTTCTGTGTCGTCAATGTACTGCAATGCATGCTTTCTGTTTGGCTCTGGGCAGGCGATGGTGGTGGTGTCGGGAGATTCATGCTGCACAAGACGTTCTCACTGCGCGCAAATGTCAGTGAGATCACCGAGTGTTCAGAAGAGGCTGATGTTAGGATGCGGCCTATGGCAGTTATCAATGGCTTTGTGTACCTATCTCTAATTATTGACTACTATGGGGACCCTCGCTCTCCTGAGTGGTTCCTGTCCTTCTGCCTAGAAACAGCTGAGGTGAATTTGCTCCATAAGGAAAGCCACCCTATCTGGTGGTCAGTTGATCCCTACATCATGGTTAGCTGGCCGTCTTCTTTGATACTCCCTCCGGTTCTCTAAAACAAGTCGTTTTAAGGTTATCTTAAGTCAAACATTTTAAAATTTGACTACAAATAACTTTTTTGGGTTGAGTTTGAAAATATGAAAGTGATGTAAGTAGATTCATCTCGAAATGTAGTTTTATAAAAGTATATATTGACTATATTTTATAAATATTTTATAACAAAAAGTTACAGTCAAAGTTGTTTCTTAAAGACCGTGTCGATGTCCAAAACGACTTGCTTTAGAGAACCGGAGGGAGTACATGGCAAGGTGAGCCTATGCCTATGTCTTTGATACATGATACAATATGTTCCGTCCCTTAATTGTAGGCAATTTGGATCACATGAGATGTGATATTGCTGTAGAATTCTGCCATCGGCTTTCAGGTTTAGATGAAGTAACATGAATAAACTTTAACTTGTAGCAAGGGAGATAATTCGTTGTCCACTTTTTAATGCTAACCAATATGAGACGGCAGCGCTGTACTCAAGGGTATTCTTATTTTAAGTTTCATTGCTTCTGTTAAAGCTAAATAAATTGATCTGTATCATTAGAATCTATTGCCCTGCCGCAATTTTTTCCTATGCAAAAGCTTAGTACTTATAGTATGAGTTCTCTTTATGTTACAGCAGGATGTGGAAACTGAAGTTACAGGAAACATTTCTGAAGATGATGATCCTATGAGCACAGAAGAAGCTTCCCCTGTCCTTTTCACTGCGTTACAATCATTCAAAGAAAAATTGATTGATGATGGCAACTTGAATTTCGCGGAGATAGAGTTCTTTGTACCTGATGATGAGAGGAACTCTCTTCTGAGCTGACTTGCTACTTTTGAGTCAGGATTAGCAGCTACAAGAGATCGTGTCTTGAGAATAGGTACTGAACCCAATAGCGTGAATGGGATGGAACTCGTTACTTCAGAGTAAGAATTAGCAGCTGCAAGAGACAGTGTCTTGAGAATAGGCACTGAATCTGATAGCATGGAAGGGATGGAGAGAGTGGGCTGCTGGCAAATGTGCATGGGAATGTTGAGTAGAGCTTGTTTCCCATTCTTTACTGGGTGACCCTGGTCCTGGTGTCTCGTCATAATTTGGGCTTTTGTTGAGACGTATTGTGAGGGAAGGATGGAGACATTATGTGCTAGTAGTTTGGTTTTGTTCCAGGTCTGTTTAGTGTAACTATGAGTACCTATGTCTAGTTGGCAAGAAACTAATCTGCTTTATATGCAGTAATATTAAGTGCCATCGTCAGTAGGTCTGTTGAGTGTAACTATAAGTACCTATGTCTAGTTGGCAATAAACCTATCTGCTTTATATGCAGTAATATCCAGTGCCATCGTTAGTATATGTTTGGTGTCTTTGCTCTGCATTGTTGAATTTGCTTCAGTGGTTGTTCATTTTGGATCCGTTATGTTTATCTCCGGATAGAATTCCTTGCTGCTTGGTTTTACACTGGTGTTTTTTAGTGCTCACTGTTTAGCCCCTCTGCGCACAAGAGAGCTGAGCATTTCATGAGAACAGAGAGCAAGGTTACTAAACGCTGCAAGAAAGCAGAGCATAAATCTTTATGACACCGGTAGTATCATTAGATGTACCATGAAATATATTTTCATAATGTGTTTATTTGGTTCGTAAATATAGATGCTTTTGACTCGAGAAGACAACTCAATTTATTTGGAAACGGATCTGAGTATCTTATAGCGTGTTTGGTTACCCTGATCCAAAGCATTAGTATGCTTAACAGTAGCTATTAATAATAAAAAAATTAATTATTATTAAGTGGATTCCAGCTTCAATTTCTGGTATTAGAATATGGTCTGCTTGTTTTCTTTTATTCTGCATTGTAGTTCCCTCCATAGTTAGGCTTGAGATCAATTTGGTTTAGATAATATGTGAATGATTGAAGTTCTTGTAGCTCACAACAATTTACCAGTAGTTAGGATGAGCATTTCTATTGGTTGATCCTTTCATCATGCTACCGTTGTTCATGCTTGAGTGACTGGTGTGGTGTTTAGTTAGCCAGTGAGTACTAGTGATCAGCAGCTGCAGCTAGTGATCTGATATGCCCTGCGTGGTTGTTATTAACATCCCTGTAACTGAAATAATCTAGTTGTCAAAGACAAGTTTAACAAAGCATTTGTTTGTTTGCTTCGTTGTTTGTGTATATGTGTGACAAACTTGGTCAAAGACAGGTTTAACAAAGTTGTAAATACAACAAGGATTATTAGCATAGTCTCCCTTGTGCTGGTAATTAGTACGCAGTATGTTCCTAGCATATTCAGGTTAGCAAATGCTTATTCAGTAATCAGGGCAAAAATCAGGTTAGCATATTCAGTAGTCAGCCAGTGAATACTGGTGATCAGCAGCTGTACAGCGTGTTTCGCTGCATATTCTGAAATTGATTAGCAGATGTACAGTGTGTTTCATTGCATATTCTAAATACTAGTGATCCGCTCTCATGTGTTGATCAGCAGCCACTGAATATGAAATTGACTTCTTTGAATCAGCCATGCTTCACTGCATTTTCTTTGAAATTGACTACTTTGCATCCAGCTCATGTTTGCCCCTCATGATGGGAGTTGTTTAAATGTTTCTTTGTATTTTTTAATTTGAAATAAGATTTTCAATGTAGCAGTTTTTCAGGTTCACCAGATTTAAGGATAAAATTGTTTTAGAAGACAACTGGTTATCCTACAAGATGCAAATGCAACTAGTTGTCCTATGATGACTAGTCTGATGGAAACATTATTACTCAGAAATTGTGACATATGTCATGGAAAGAAAGAAAGTAGACATTTGCATGGGAATATTTCTTATTTTCTTGAATTAAGTCAATTTGCATAGACAAATGTAGCATATGGATGGAGTGCTGGTAATTTGAATTAAGTCAAGCTTGTGCTAGTACACTTCACTTGCTTGTGAGAGCCCTCTGATCCTATCTTAGGATCTGGCCCGCAGATTCGAAATGGCAAAATGGATAGGATGATGTCAATTGATTGGATTGGGCTGAGCTGAAACAAATCAGTAAGGGTTAAGATTGGGTTGGATCTAGTGGTGCTATGTTCCATCCAATGACAATCATCTCCCGCTACTCTGGTTCACTCGCAGCTGCGATTACTTGGCAGGACTCAGAGAACAATTTCCTAAGAGTAAAGGCAAGTAAAAAAATTTCCTTGCATACATCCTAGCCTGAACTGCATCGGAGGGAACTACAAACTTGTATTGATCTCAGAAAGCTCCTGTGCAGGTTATAGACTTCGGTCAGATGCTATGACCCTGACAATCTCCACGAGTGCACTCCAGACCAGTATTAACACTCTCGGATCAACCGCCACTGTTCTCACATCAGCAAATGTGATGGATGAAAATTCCTTCAGTAACCCAACCAAGGTAAGTTTCCCCCCTTGTTTGTGTTTATTACAGTGTCTGAATGATCATATGTCTCTCAAAGCATGTTTGCGCTTTGTTTTCGGTTTCGGTCTCGTGTCCTCTGAGATCCTACCTGACTCTGAATGTGAAACCTGATGGTGAACAATTGCGCTGCAGGTTGTGCCGGTGAAGAGCGATCTGAGCAATGCTGCAGAGCAGATGCGGGTCACGCTGGCTCCTCACTCCTTGAGCTCGTTCGATCTTGCCCTGGCTCAGTACACTAGGACTATAGTATACAGTACAAGATGTTGAAGTCACAAATGCCAGCAGCTACAGGGGTTGTTGTTAGCATCTTGAACACAGGGCTTTGTACTGTGTAATAACATGATGCAGATACTAATAATGAATAAATAAATAAAAGCCACATCAGGTTGGTTTGATTTGCTTGATACAAGTAATTAGACCGTCACGACATTTTTAATTTGTTTTTTTACTCATTTTATTATTATGATTTTCCCAAGAAAAAGGCAGTTGCAGTCTTGCAGACTACCAGTACAGCAGCAGCAGCATTTTCTCCCTGCGCCCTGTTCGTTTGGACTTATTTGGCTTATAAGTCATGGCTGAAAGTACTGTTGGCTGGTTTGGTGTGTGAGAAAAATACTGTTCGTTGGCTGATAAGCTATGGCTTATAAGCCAAATACGACCAAGCGAACAGGCTGCTACTATACGAAGAAACCCTCTTCATTTATTAGCATAGACCTCGCCGAGCGGCGCGACGGCGAGCTTGGCGAGCATGAACGCGTTATGGTTCTCTGCTGTCACCGGCGACGCCGCCTTGCTCCTCCTAAACCCGTCCTCGCACTCCTTGGCGGTGGCGGCGGCTTCCTCCAGGCACGTTGTGGCCTCGCCCTTCCTGACGCCCCGAACGGTGGCCGCGCAGGCGGGCTGTCTCCGCACCGTGCCGACGTACAGAGCCTGGCATGATCGGAGGCAGCGCGTCATGGCCTCGTCGACGCCACCGTTGTCTCTACCGCCGCCGCTGGCGCTCTCCTGTGTTGTCGTCGGTGAGCACCGTCGACGTGAGGAACATGAGATCGGAACGACAGAGGGAAAGATTCCTCTTGCCGAGTTCTGTATTCTCTGAAATGCGATAGATCCCAGAGTCTCACAGCGGTGACTTATTACAGACCGGGTTATGCCCTCAGGGCCCACACGTCATAGACGTTACATTACATAAATGATTGAATACGTAATCATAGATAGATAACACCTTTCAGCGAGTACGTCTCATTCAGGTAGTCATCGTCATGGGCTCGACAACTCCCCCCGCCGAAGTGCCTGCTTGCCCCCAAGCAGGTGCATCCAGAAAGCAATGGCGCAAGACGTTGTAGTCTTCCCAGGTGGCCGACGTAGGTGGAAGGCCACTCCACTTCACCAGGACCTGAGGAACAGCGGTGGCACCCTTCTTGACCAGACGACGCTCGATAATGACCTCAGGAACAGCCGTGGCCGCCTCAATGTCAGTAGTGACTGGCAGTTCCGAGAACACTGGTGAGAAATCAGGAACAAAGGACTTGAGCTGGGAAATATGAAATACCAGGTGAATTTGGCTACTCTGAGGTAAATCCAACCGATAGGCCACTTTGCCAATTTTCTCCAGGATGGTGTATGGCCCATAGAACTTGTATGCTAGCTTGGGATATGGTCGGCTGGCCATCGTGGACTGTGTATATGGTTGGAGCTTTAATAGCAACTGATTGCCAACCTGGAACTAGAGATCTACTCTTTTCTTATCAGCCATGACTTTCATCCTATTCTGAGCACTGGCCAAATGTTGCTTCAGAGATTGAAGATGGAGCTCATGGTTCTCAATGATTTCAGCAATAGTTGGTAATGTAGCAGGTGATACCAATGGTGTTGCGCCCACTGTTGGTTCATAGCCATACAGTGCTTTGAAAGGAGAACAACCGAGAGAGGAGTGGAATGTTGAGTTGTACCATAGTTCTGCTAGGGAGAGCTAGGACTTCCAGTTTCTAGGAGCATCTTGGACTGAACACCTCAAGTACATTTCTAAGCACTGGTTGACCCTTTCAGTTTGCCCATCTGACTGTGGGTGGTAAGCTGTGCTGACGGCCAATTTAACTTTGTAAAGCTTGAAGAGGTATTTCCAAAAAGTACGGACAAAAATGGTGTCCCTATCAGAAACAATGGATTGTGGTAACCCATGTAACCTGACCCCATTGTCCATAAATATCTATGCTATAGAGGTTGTTGTATAAGGGTGTTTGACTGCCATGAAATGTGCATATTTGGTTAATCTGTCCACTACTACAAGAATGACATTGTAACCTTGTGATTTTGGAAGGCCCTCTATAAAGTCATGAGGACACGTGGACGCCCTAAGAGGCGGGGGGGTGAATTAGGCAACTTAAAAATCTAACTCTAAACTATGGCCTCTTTTTCTACCTCTAGTAAAACCTATGCAAAAGATAATCTATCTAAATGTGCAACTACGGTTTTGCTAGTGTATTGCTATCTCTACCATAAAATGATAATAATATGATCAATGTAAATGCGAAAGCTTAAAGAGCAAGGTAGAGATATGCAAACTCCGTCGACGACTCCGGTATTTTTACCGAGGTATCGAGAAGCGCAAGCTTCCCCTAGTCCTCGTTGGAGCCCCTCGCATGAATCCCTCGCAAGGGCCAAGCTCCCGGTCGGGTAACTCCGTGGATAGCCTTGGGCCTTCCCCACACGCAAGTGGGTCTCCGATGTGCCTTCCGGCAAGCCTCTCCCGGATGCTCCCCGCCGTCTTCACTATCAAGCTTTTGGCCGAAACGCCGCGGGCCTTGTTTCCTTCGATTACACGGTGGCGGCGCGCACCACAAACGCGGTTGGTGCGATCTCGCAAGACTTCAAGCCCTCCGATGTACAACTCTTGTGCTCGCATAAGCACGGGTGACAAGAGGTATGCAAACCTCACTAAACACTAGGCATACACCTGGAGAGCAAGCGATAAGCGGTGGTCTAATCAACCTAAACACTTCGCAAAGCACCCACGCTAATCACCTGATGAAACACTAAGCACTATGCAAGTGGAGATCACTAAAATGATGTATCAACACCCTTGGTATGTTTCCTCAGCTCCACACTTTTCAAATGGCCGGTTGGGGGTTGTATTTATAAGCCCCACTGAGAAAGTAGCCGTTGGGGTCGAACTCCCGCAATTCTGCTACTGACCGGACGCTGAGATCGTCCTGATCGGACGCGTCCGGTCGTCCCGACCGTTGTAGCCGCGAATCATCGATCGGACCTTTGCCATTGTTCTCGTCGTCGCCGCCACCGGACGCGTCCGGTCGCAGTTTTGCGCGCCTGGAACCTCTCTGTACTCGATCGGACGCTGCGTTCCTACGTCCGGGCGGTTGCCGCCAGCGTCCGGTCCTTGCGTCCGGTCGCCTGTCTGCCGAGCCATCGGTCCAGCGTCCGGTCCAGCGTCCGGTCGCCTCTGCGAGCTCGTTTCTTCGCGATCTTGCGCACGGCTTGGTTCCTATCTTCATGCTTGGACTTTGCTTGACATCTTAGGTCTTTTCTTGTGCTTCTAAGGTCTTGCTTGAGGTGTTGATCATCAGATCATCACGTCGCCTTCGTCCAAGTCACGTCTTGCACCCTATTGGACTACAAAACAAACACTTGTAAATTCATTGGTCCAATTCGGTTGTGTTGGTCATCAAACACCAAAATCCAAAGTAAATGGGCCAAGGGTCCATTTTCCTTACAATCTCCCCCTTTTTGGTGATTGATGACAACACGACCAAAGCAAGCAAATGATAAAAAATTTAAATTTAAAAATTATCTACTTGCTAGGGCAAGGTTTTATGATGCTAAGAGATACTACATGAAGAACTATGATACCAATTGAAGACCTAGCTTGCCCTTGCAAATGTCCCCATGTGGCATTATGGATTAAAGTCTTGCTTCTTATAAATTCTCCTCATTACTTAGACTTAATCCATAATCCACTATCCTCCCTTTCTCAGACCATTACCATTTGTAGACATTAACTTAATGCTTGTCTTTGGTCCTCCAAATTCTCCCCCTTTGGCATCAAACACCGAAAAGGAAGACATTAGTAGCACAAGGAAGGGTCAAACTTTGTGATCCTTTGTATGTAGAATTGGATAGATCACAAAATTTGACTCTCACATTATATAGACTAAGCTCCCCCTAAATAAATGCATACATATGATAGAAGGCAAAGCATATGCATAATTGGCAAATTATTGCACAACGGAGTTTAATCTATATAATGCATGGAGAAAGCATATAAATATCAAAATGAAGTCAACATGATGATACTAAATGAAGAATGATGCTTAATTTTGGGAACTCCAATTTCCTTACAATGAGACTACTACACATGTGATAGGTTTGAAAAGTTGATACCATTTAAAAAGTGTTAGTCTCAAAGCATCCAAGTTGTAGAAATACTCCCCCTAAATATGTGCACACAAATATAGAATACATTGTAGAAATCATGCACATTGATTTTAGAATAAAAAAATACCACTTGAAAGATGACATCTCATGAATGTGAGAATCATTTTCAAAAAGATATCCGGGAGAGATTATATACAATTTAGACTTTGGCACATATTAGATGAACAAAAGTAAGACAAGCTATGTGCCGTGCTTGTAAACAATTGTGAACCATGTAGGTTTGCTCCAAGGGTTAAGAATGAAACCGAGCAAGCCTACCATATGATATACCTAGTGTATGCATGACAAAAGATATAAGAATTCAGATGCAAACATAGGCATGAAGAGTAACTAGATGCTAAAAGATACCAATTGTAGGAAAATTTTAAATCTAATACCAATTGAAGTAAATTGAATCTAGTTACCTAACATGGGAAGGGGAATTTAGGTCCATAGTATCCACTAACCCACTTGGCAATGACTTTGTCCAACATGATGCACCCCATGAAATGCACCCATACTTTACCAAGTCTCCAAATTCCTCGTAGTCTGACGGACTTCTTACTTCCCTTTCGGGATCCAAACCTTCTTGGTGCTCTTCATGTTGGAAATGATTTCCTTTGGCACCCAAAAGCGTTTGATCCCATTGTTGGCTTGCTTGTTCACCTTGATGGCCACCACCTTGTCATTTTTCTTCTTCTTCAAGAGATAAGGTGTGGAGGCCTTCTTGTCCACCTTGTTGGTGTAGGTGTTGGAGAGCTTGCTTGTTTGCTTTTTCTCCTTCTTCTTTGCTCCTCCCCCATTCTTCACCTTGCATTCATAGGACTTGTGGCCTTCTTTGTGGCACATGTAGCAAACCACGATTTGTCCTTCATCAAGCTTCTTCACTCCCTTGACGGTGTTATCTTGAAGAAGTTGGGTTTGCTTTGCCTTGCCTTTCACTTGAGTCAAGTCCTTGGTGAGGCGAGCTACTTCTTGCTTGAGTTGCTCATTTTCTTTTGCAACCTCTTGTGTGCATGTATCTACAATCACTTTCTCAACACAAGCTTGGTTGCACAAAGGTGAGTTTAAACATAAATCGTTGCAAGAGGTAGATGCATCCTTTTTAATTATGTCGTTTCTTTTAGATGCATTGGTGGGGGTATTTTTGACGACCTCAAGATTAGCAACTTTATTTGTTAGCTCATCACAATGTTTGCACATGATTTCCATTTTAGCAAGCAAACTTTGATAATCATTTTGTGAGCTAGCTAACTTTTCTTTTAATTTTTCATTTTTCTTTTCAAGTTGCTTATCATTAATTGTGCATGCACTTGTTGTTGCACTAGCCTCAAGTTGCTCAATTTTAGTAGATAGTTCAACATTGAGATTTGCAAAGTTTTCATATTGTTCAAGCAAATTCTTGTATGCTTCTTGTGAACTACCTAGCTCTTCTTTTAAAGTTTTGAGCTTCTTTTGTTGACTAGTGCAAACTTTAGCATATTTAAGATTTTGTTGCACAATTGTATTGTAAGAAGGCAAATCAT